CATCCCCAGCACTGCGATGTCCCCCCAGGAATGCAGCGCTCCCCAGCACTGCAATGCACCCCCAGCAATGCAGCGCTCCCAACAATGCAGCACTTCCAGGCAATGCAGCACTTCCCCACCACTGCCTAGCACTGTACCGACATATCAGTCAAGTCCTGAAAAGGGGCTTAAAGTCACAAACTCTGACTGAGAGGCAACAGTGCCTCAGCTGAGCCAAACTGATACACAAGAAGAAATGGAGCAGTAAACTAGTTTTTTTTCAACATGATCTTAGAATTTGCATCAGTTTCTCACACGACCCTTCACTTTCAGAAAACCAAGCTTCCTTTTTGTTCCTGATCTCCTTGACATCATTCTCATGTTAAGAAACAAACTGAAACAGGAGACCCTTTTTGCCCTACAATGTATGAACTGCATGAAAGTCACTTACTTACTGAATAGGATTTATTAGAATCCTCTATTGGAGATTTCCCTACATTTACCCACAGGGTGTCCACAAAGTCATGTGTTCTTTTATACACAGTGCACTGAACAACAACTGAAGCACGTGGAAGAATGAATTAATAAATTAATAATAAATTAAATTCTAAATTGTATTTAGAAGTACTTAATTGTATTCAGTACAAGTGTTCAACTGTATTAGATGTCCAGAGGATTTGTATGAGTGAGTGCCTTTATTTTCATGGCAGATAATGATCCGTCACCATGTTCGATGCACATCTTCCATAACATGGATGGAGCGACGGGGATGAAAGGCATCTCTGACAGCTTGTTTCAGCTCCTCCCTAGTCTCAAATGAATGCTTTGTAACAGGGGGTAACAGGACTTTGTGGACATCCCGTACAAAATCTGAATTACTTTTATGTATGTTTTGTTTGTAGTGCTTGCTGTGGAGATGGAGATCAAAACCAGAGATCAAACAAAGAGTCAAATCAGAAACTCCGGGACTGAAGTCTCCCAAAGCATTAATATCCCAACATTTTGGACAAACATTTTAATTTTGGTCAATCTTGGTTTAGTTTACTTTGTTCCGACCACTCCCCCCATTCCAATTCAAGCTCTTGGGAATATAGTGAGGCTGGTTACTCCGATTGTTTTAATTTTAAAGGTTAGTGTACCTCGATATCCTGATGGCTTCCTCGTTTTCTGTAGTCCAGTATCCTGTAATGATTGCTTTATTTTTTGCGACCTTACACTGTTTACAAATGGTAAGCACAAGTCAACTAACACCCCAAGATTTTTTCCATTTTCTTGTCAATCATAGTTTCTCCCACTCAACCATAAATGACTGGGAGTATAAATGCTTATTCAAAAATGTCGGTAAATGATGGCTCCGACATTATAATTGTTTGAACCCCTTGAGCAGAAGTTAGCGAACAAGCTATTTTCTACTCAAGGGAGTCAAACAATCTGAGTCAAAGTCAGATTCCCTGTTCACTGTGAAGGCCGGCAAGGCTGCTCAGTGTGGTGTGGGCGTGCACGGGGAGAGTTGGTCTAGTGGGAATCTTCACAGGGGCGCAGCTTTTTAGGTTTGGAGTCTGGTCCAGCTAGGTCTCAAAGCGCTTCACAGAATATACTGTAAAGTGAATTGACTGTATATTTTGTGGGCGAATGCGGCAGCCAATTGCGCACCACAAACACTCGTGGATTGAATGACCAAATTATTATTTTTTTTGAAGGGATCCGCCAATTGACTAACAACCGGGTTCCTACTTATTGCTAGGTAAACAGAGGCATGTGGCATCAGGAAACTTTCCTAACGTTTTGACCCGCCTGGGAATCGATCCCGGCGTTACAATTACAATTTATAGAGTCCACTTGAACAGGCAAGCTGCGCTTTGGTTTTATGTTCCACCAATGTAGCAGTCTGACTATATAGTGTTCCCTGGTCTTGTATTGTGGAGTGTTAGCCTTGACGATGAATCCTTACGTGGGGTTTGAATCCACAACCTTCGGATCCAGACGCAAGAGTGCTACCAACTGAGACAAAACATATAGCAATTGAAATCATCAGTGTATATTTTTTTCTAAAAGATAACAAATGCATCCAGTTTGAACATTATCTTCAGCACAGGAGAAAAGGGGAACTCTCTTTAATGTAGATATTTATTTCTGTAGCTGGATTGGAAACAGCAGTCCATCAATATAGTTCCATTTTATATGTGGGTGACATTGCATAAGAGCACAATGATTCAGTGAAATTAGTAATTACACTGGTGTTCGCTTTCACTAATAGAATAAGTCTCTTCATACTTAAAATACTTTCAAACATTCATGTTATCTGAGCATAATGCTCTCATTGGATGGAGCAGACGCATTTTCCTTCTTGAACAGATGAGTGCTTAAAATAATACATATTTAAATAAGGGGTGAAAATATTGTCCTGTTTCTTCTTATCTACCAACGTGGAGAGAAAAAAGAAATGAGTAACAAAATGTAAGAAGCGCCCAGGGAATCTAAAAGAGAATTTAGGACGAACTACTTGATACAGAAGGTAGTGAGAATGTGGAACTAGCTGCCTGAAGAAGTGGTTGAATCAGATAGTGTAGATGATTTCAAGAGGAAGCAAGACCTTCTCTTGAGGGAGAGGGGAATAAAAGGGTGTGAGAGGGATTAAGGAATGGGTGGAGACCCACGTGGAAAATAGACTCTGTCACGGACTGGTTGAGCTGAGTAGCTGTTTCCTTACTGTACATTCATTTGTAATCTTTGATTTGATTACAAAGTTACATAGACTTAGATGGACTGTTACAGCACAGACCATTCGTTCCAAGTAGTCCATGCCCATTTTATACACATGTACACTCCCCCACCACACCCCTCTAATTCCCTCTGTAAATAGTTTCAGATTGCACAAATAACATGTGTGCCCATCCAAAGGGAAAATTGTACTGCATAAGTCACTCAATGCCCTGGTTAGAATTTTTTAAATGGTTATTGTTTCACTCGAATGGCGTACCCAGTATTGGATAAGAAAATAAAGGTTCCCTTAGAGGAGCTCTAGTATCTCAAGTGTCTTGCGGTTTGCGTGGCACTGTTGGGCACAGTTGCCCATGGATTTCGTTGCTGTGATTCAATTTAAGGCTGATTGTCTAAGATAATGGATTCTCTGGTGGTCAAAGGTCCACAAAGGTCATCTTTGTTGAATCACAACACGGCCAACAGTGACCAACGATGTGGCCTTATGGTGTTCACTTTCTCGGGATACGGGGCAACGAACACCTGCGGCATCCACCTCGCACAGTGGGCCTTTGGGTCCAGATTGCCCAAAATCTCTAATTATCGGGAGGCAGGCGACCAGCAACGACTTGTATCCCCTGAGACCCCGACCCCCCAGAACCCAGCGGTGGGTTTGAAAAGGCGAGTAGCAATCTTGTGATCCTCCTCGTGATCGTAGTGGGAAGAGGCTTGCTGTCTGTGTCTGTCTAGGTGGGTGGGTGTCTGTCTGTCTAGATGGGTGTCTGTCTGTCTAGGTGGGTGGGTGTCTGTCTAGGTGGGTGGGTGTCTGTCTGTCTGTGTAGGTGGGTGAGTGTCTGTCTAGGTGGGTGGGTATCTGTCTGTCTGTGTAGGTGGGTGTCTGTCTAGGTGGGTGGGTGTCTGTCTGTCTGTGTAGGTGGGTGGGTGTCTGTCTGTCTAGGTGGGTGGGTGTCTGTCTGTCTGTCTAGGTGGGTGGGTGTCTGTCTGTCTGTCTGTCTGGGTGTTTGTCTGTCTGTCTGGGTGTTTGTCTGTCTGTCTGTCTGTCTGGGTGTTTGTCTGTTTGTCTGTCTGGGTGTTTGTCTGTCTGTCTGGGTGGGTGTCTGTCTGTCTGTCTGTCTGTCTGTCTGTCTGGGTGTTTGTCTGTCTGTCTGTCTGTCTGGGTGTCTGTCTGTCTGGGTGTTTGTCTGTCTGTCTGGGTGTCTGTCTGTCTGTCTGTCTGTCTGTCTGGGTGTTTGTCTGTCTGTCTGTCTGTCTGGGTGGGTGTCTGTCTTGTGGCAGCGCATTTGAAGAGGGCGCCTCTGGTTGCGGTGCAGTGACGCCGTGTTATCATGTGAGAGTGGAGGTACCCATGGTTCACTGTGCGAGTTGCCCCACCCGTTTCTGCTGCTCTCTGTCTCGGAGCACATCCACAGCGGTGGCGGCCTGAGCTGCTCGGTGTAAAAATAGATCGTGTGAGAGAGAGAGGGGGAGAGAGCGGGAGAGAGAGAGAGAGAGAGAGGGGGAGCGCCTGGGAACAGAGGGCACGGCCTGGGACTCACACTCAGCCGCCACGGGCCGCCTCGTACCCGGGCAAAGCATCGTAACCGCCCGGGAGGGGGGGATATCCACCCGGGGGTGGGGGGGCATCACAACCCAACCCGACCCGACCCCGGCCCTACTACCCCACCCGACCCCGGAGCTGCAGAGGGACCTCAGCTGATCGGAGGAGAGTAATCCCGGGAACAGCCTGTCCCCCGGGGGAGGATCTCGACCCACCGCCCGCCCGCCCGCCGGGGGGAGAGAGATTACCGGCGAGGGAGAGAAGAAGGAGGAGGAGGAGAGGAGCGGCCCGGCAGCAGCCGCAGGAAGACGGACGTTTACCGTCGGAGGAAAGGCCGCCTGTTCCCGACGCGCCGCTGCCGGCTGACGTGCCCCGGGAGAGGCCGCCCTCCTGCCCCGGCCCCCGGGCGGACAGCGCCCGCTCGCTCTCTCGCTCTCTCTCTCTCCAGTGAGGGCCTACAGGCGTCGGGCGGGGCCGAGTCCATGCCTTTTCCTCTCCCAGCGGCTCGCTAAGCAAGCCCGAGGCTTCAAACCCGGCCCTAGGCCCCGGCGGTTCGCCTCTCACCCCCGCCGTTAAGTGTCCGGGCGCTGACCCCGGGGCTCCGAGCCGTCCTTCCCGCGGGGGAGAGAGAGAGAGAGGGAGAGGGTTCAAGTCCGGTTTTCACGGCCACGGGTTTATTTCGTGCGGAGCCCGAGGGAGAGCAGCGTCACTCTCCGCGGCACTGAGTCCCGGGAGCCGAGGGGGCGGCGGCGGCGGCCGGGGAGCCTGTGCCGGTGGCGGGGTGGCCGTGCGGTGCGGCGGGGAGGGGGCTAACCCGGCGCCGGCGCTCGCTGCTCCCGGTGGCGGCGGCGGTGGCCGCCCGACTCTCCCCATGATCATGGGCTGTCTGGGCAACAGCAAGACCGAGGACCAGCGGAACGAGGAGAAGGCGCAGCGGGAGGCCAACAAGAAGATCGAGAAGCAGCTGCAGAAGGACAAGCAGATCTACCGCGCCACGCACCGGCTCCTGCTGCTCGGTATGTCCGGGCCCGGGGGGGGGGGGAGGGAGAGGCAGTACAGACACAGACAGACACACAGACAGAGTCGTTTCAAATGTTTTTTTTATTATTTTTTAAAAAAAAGGCGATTCCTGTTCAGTGCGCGAGGATTTAAAACTGTGGAGGGAGTGGAGGTGGAGGGAGTGGAGGTGGAGGGAGTGGAGGTGGTGGAGGCTCGAGATGGATGGAGGGAGGGAGAGGGAGGGGAGGAGGTGAAAATAAACATGGAGGCTTCTCGCTGTCGTCGTTTAGAGAGGAAACCTAATTTTGCGCCGTGAGCTTCGCCCCCTCTCTCCCTCCCTCCCTCTCCCTCTCCCACACACACCCTCTCCGACATGTCCCCAAGTTTCTCTCTCTCTCCCCCCCCCCCCACCCACCCCCGAAGCTGGTTGACAGCACAGCAGAGAGAGTGAGTGAGAGAGAGAGAGAGAGAGAGCGCGGTTGCTGAGGGGGTGGGAGGGGGCGGCCTGGGGCTAACAGTAAACATGGAGGCCCGGGGTGGGGGGGGGGGAGGGTGGAGGGGGTGTTGAGGGCAGCGAAAATGCCAGTGATCCTGTGCTTCTCGTGAGAGTCCTCAATCTTTCATGAAATGAGCTGAGTTTTTTTTGGGGGGGGGAGGGGGTGGGGGGGGGTATGTTTTACACACACACACACACACCCTCTCCCCCACCCACCCACCCAATTTCATTAAAGATCCAGGTATTATCTTTTATTGAACACGAGGCCCCTTCGCGTTTTTTTTTCGGAAAAAAAATTATAAAAGCAGAGCTCGAGGTGGAGCTGCGGCTTCAGTACAAATGTTGGGCCGCTCATTGGTGCCGAGATTGGCGTCGGCGAATGTTTTTTTTTCCCCCTCTCTCTTATATTATATTGATTTTTTAAAAAAAATAATGATAATAATAATAATAATAATAATAGCAACAATGGCTGGAAAGGCTCCCTCTTCCCCCACGCCCCCCCCCCCCCCAGCGGGTCTGCTCTGCCCTCTTCCCCCCCCCCCCCTCTCTCTCTCTCTCTCTCCCGATGCTCAGGTCGGGGGCGGGTTTCGATCCCGTGAAAAAAGCTGCGAGAATCTCTTGTAAGAATAAAGGGAGAAAATGTCTGTGTGGAAAAGGAGCAGAGAGGGGGGGGGGGGGAGAGGGCGCGTTTCCAGGGGGTAGTAGTGAACGTGAGGGAGGGTCTGTCACACACTGAATGTTGCCTCTTGTTTTGTGTGTAATCTGTAATAAAATCCCTCCCCTTCCCCCCCCACCCCCAACCCCACCCCCCCCCCCCACACACAAATGGTCTGTTTTGTTGCAGGGGCCGGAGAGTCGGGTAAGAGCACGATCGTCAAGCAGATGCGAATCTTACACGTCAATGGATTTCACGCCGAGTAAGTTGCGGCTTTGTGTTGTTGTGAGTGTGTGTGTGAAGGTTTCCTGTCAAGTCAGGCCGAGGCCTGGGGGTGGGGGCTGGGGGTGGGTGGGGGGGGTGAAGCGAGCGCTGCTCCCCCGGGCCCTGCCCCGTCCTCTCTCCTCCTCCCTCTCCTCTCCTCTCTCTCTCACTCTCTCCTCCTCTCCCAACATGGCGGCCGGTATCAGCGCTCCTACGCGTTCACCCCCCCCCCCCCCAAAAAAAAAATAATATATATATCCCGGCGTTTGTCGTTCTTCCTCCACCGCCCGCCATTGGCTCCGCTCCTCTAAAACGGACCTTATGTGGGTACTGCGTTTAAAAAAAACACTCCCGGTAATCGGCGTGGCCGGTAGGTTCCCGAACATGCTGAGGGGGGGGGGGGGGTTTCAAAAAAAAAGAGGCCAAGTGTATTTTCATTGCCCCTCGAGTGTGTGTGTGTTTTTTTTTTGGTGTTTTTTTTTTAATCTAAAACCCCCCCCCCCCATGAAACTGTTTCCCAAGCAAATAATAATAATAATAATAATCCTCGCATTTGATATAGCGCTTTTCACGTCGGGAGGACGTCCCAAAGCGCTTCGCAGGACGCGCCGTAAAGCGAATCGACCGTATATTCGCGGGCGAAGCCAGGTTAGCGGACGTCGGTGGTCGTGGTCGGAGAAAGTGTCGTGACCAGAGCGTCTCTCTTTCCTCTTCAACCCTTTCTGTGGTTCTGCCTCTTACCCTCGCCCCCCCCCCCCCCCCCACGTGAGCATTTTGTGCAGCTCACTTTCCTCTCCTGAAATATTATTATTCAAACATAACTTAAATTAAAACCTCGCCCGCAAATATACAGTCAATTCACTTTACAGTATATTCTGTGAAGCGCTTTGGGACGTCGAGAAGACGCGAAAAGCACTATATCAAATGCAAGGATTATTATTATTATTAACTTCCGGAGAAGACAACAGAATTGTCGCATGCAAGATGATCAATCATTTGAAGGCTTATAAAAACACTACTTTGACAGCCAACTGTCTCCCATCCCGCCTCGGCTGTCACTCCCATCCCCGAAGTATTTGAAATATTTTCCAATGCAAAAGATGCTGTATCTGTGCAAGTTCTTGCGTTTATTTTCACACATTTTTGTGTTGGTTATTTCCATCTGAACTCAAACTTATTGAATTTACCAGTTGTTGTTTTCTTCCAATATTCGAGTTTGACTGGAACCTCGTTAATGAATGTAAATGTTGATTCTTGGTTTTATCGGTAGAAATTGGTCCTGGACCAGTGTTTTGTCAAAGAAATGTTTACCACTCTGAGTTCCAGGAAACTCAGCAGGTGATTATTACAGTTAATTAAGCTGAGGAAGCAAGTGAGTTAAATGGTGAGAAATGTACTCTTATGATTTAAATTGCTGTGGTTATTCCAGTGTATTACGATAAATTATTTTATAAAAAAACTGCTAAAGCATTCACTGTACTTTGAACTGTAGCTTTTAAACTTGATTTTCTTTTTAATTTTTTAAAGCAGATTTGAATATCCTAAGCACTAATTTAAGGCTTATAATTGAGGGAAATTGATTTTTATTCAACTTTTTTTTCAGTGAGAAAAAGCGGAAAATTCAAGATATTAAAAATAATATTAAAGAAGCCATAGAGGTAAATACTTCTGAAATGTTTAGTCTAAAGGAAAATGTTTTTAATATGCTTATGAATTTGCTTTGATGTGTTAATCAACTGAAACCAGAAAACTGTTGGTGATAGCTTAAATTACTAAATGTTTTTAATAAATGAGATGATAGTCACACCGATTTAAAAAATCTAATTGTTAGTGTGAAAAAATCAACCTAGTTTGTGTTTTGAAATGTTTTTGACTTAAATCCTGATGCTAAAGTACACAAAGCCCACATTGATAAAATGTTCTTCTGCGCGCTCGTCCAAATAATCCTGATCAAAGGAGAATTGATTCCGATATCTAACAGAATTCTTCCCCCTTCGCCTTTGGTTGGTAATAACCATTCACTTGAGAACTGAGTATTTGTATATATTACAAAGCTTTCTGGAATCTTGTGGATCTCAGATTGGTCAACACTAATATTTATACTAGTGGCTCTGTTCAATTTTGATTATGGGCTTCAGATTTAATTTACAGAAAATACTCATTCAGAATACAATTTATGGTTGTTTTCTACAGTGTGCTCTTAGCTATTTTATCTTCTCCCCTCCAGCTTTCACCTTAAAGAGCTGCGAGTGACCTGTTGCTCTTGAAACTCTTGTACCTATTCCCATGTTTTGGGAAATTTCCATCCCTGTTTAATGTGTACCATATTAGCTCTATTCCTGTAGATATAGCCAGATCCGAAACCCAACCATCATGCTTAAGAGTAACCAAAGTAACCAAAGCATGGTGATGGGTTTCTGCATGCATCAGACACTCGGCTGACCAAAAGAGAAAGCAATACAATGTACATTTTTTTTCATGTTAGGAGTATCTCTCAAACTGCTTAACACTGCTGGCTGGACACCTGAACTTGGAGTGGTGGCCAAAGGGGATTGGGAGGAGAAAGATAACCAAAAATACCATCTAGGTCTTGAGTCAAACCTGGAACGAGGCGAGGGAGCAATCAGAGGGACTCTTGAGACAGAGTTCCAGAGAGTGGGAGCAGAATGGTGGAAAGCCCGCCCACCGAAGTCCTATGAACTCTGTGGCAAATGTCTATTGTTTTCTCATAGGAACGATTCATTGGTCACCTAGTGGTCAATGATTAAGATAGGAGGCACACTTGATGGCTGTTTTAACAGCTCCAAATTGTTTCAGATTGCACTAGCTCTCAGCCTGATGGCTATAGTGCAAGAAGAGTTACAAACTTCAACTGATTAGGGCTTTTTAACACGGTTGCAAAAATTGGAGGTTGAGCTGGCCTGTGTCTTTTTTGCACAATTCTTGGTAAATCGGCCCAAGAGTAATGTTGACCAGGCCTGAGAGCAAGTTACTTTGTTGCATGATTGTGATGAGAAAGGGAAAAAATAAAAGCTTTATCAAATTTCTTTTCTCTGGTTTTGTTGCAGACGATAGTGGGAGCAATGAATACATTGGTACCACCAGTCCTCGTATCCAATCCTGAGAATCAGTTTCGATTGGATTACGTCCTAAACCTAGCAAATCAGAAAAACTTTGAATTTACACAGGTAAGTGACACAACACCTGCAAGTGAATTGTCCTCTGAGCTCACACTGACGCCCAATTGTGCTGAGTTTACTGAGCTGTAGCAAACCTTTGTTTTGAGTCTTTGGATAGTTCCAACATTTGAGCCCTTCCTTCTCTGGACTGAGAGCTTGTTGAGTTGTGGGGCTCCCCAAACTAACCAGACCTTGTAGTTGCATAGCTAGAACAATGATGCCTCAGCAGCTTACCACTATAAAGAACTGGTGTGAGGTATTTGCCAGGCTGTTGATTAGGGCTAGGGCCTTAGTTTGCAATGTGTGCACGTTAGGAATGAAGGGAGGCAAGAGAAACAAACAAGGTGAAAATGGGGCAAATGTTTCAGACCAAACTTGAAGACCTTCGTTTTCAAAAGATTGAAATTCCTGCAAGATTTGCATGGCATCTTGTTTAATGAACCCTATAAATATATATTCTGTAAATATAGGGCTTTGCAAAGTGCAGTCTTGAGTTCCTCAGCTTTTTGATTTAGTGTACTTCTGACTGTTGTTGAAATTGTCAAATGTTGGGCCAAAGGATTTGTTATCCAGTGGTCATAGGACTGAACTGGTAGTATTATAATGGAGTATGTCTAATGGAGTGTGTGTATTACAGTCGGGGTCTGAACTCGCAGATGTTGTCTGTTGAGCTAATTATTGTACAAGGTGCTCTGTTTCAGGGCAGCACCTGCTTGTTAGTAGCTGCAAAATGAAACATAATGTGAATTGAGTTCCTAGAATGTGCCATCAATAAGTTTTAACCCTTAAAGTGCTGCACAATTAGGTTGGTCAGCCTTTTTTGATTTGACGTGATTTTTAAACATCCAGAATTCTGTGATGAATCAGCGTTCAGTCAATCTTTTGACTTTTGTTTTAAAAATGTTGGTTTTGGTGTTCTGTTCGCCACTTTTTTTACTTGTTCTGACCTCCAATTTGGAAGGAAAAGAAAGCAGCTAAGAGAAACTTTTTTTTAAAAGAGGGTTTGAATAGATTGGGCAGTTAAAAATGATAAGAGAATTGGTGATTGATGGGGAGATAAGCATTGCACTGTATTAATTTGCTTTGTGAAAAAGTTTTAATCATTTATTTTGTGGTAGAGGTTAATGTTACTCATAACTTTAGGTAATACAGTAACACTTGCACACGTCTTATCTTTATAAAACGTGTAACAGCACTGGAGTCCCATTTAGGTTCCTATCAAAACCACTTAGATTTCTTTGCACTAGTCATATTAATCATCTCCTAACTTGTAACACCGCTACCCTATTCTGTTACTCCTGCACTTATTGGCTGCATTAAATTGTGGGAAATGACGCCCTAACCCATCGATGCATATGCATTTACCGACCAGATGCATTGAATCGTGGGAAACAAAGTACTTGATCCATTGCGCAGAAGAACTTAATTTCCCCTGATTCAATGTGATTCCAGTGCTTGCTGGTAAGTGAGCATGCAGCAACTGGATGAGTTGCATCACGAGATACGTAGTCTTGACCTGTTAACCCATGCATTGAATTACAATGCACAGTGTAGATTATTGATTAAATCAGATTTTATATGACTTGTACAGTTTGCCTGTACTGTAACTCAAATTTTGCGTATGTCATATTAGATGTTATGGACCCGACTGATACGACTTATGTGAATTTTACTGTGCTGCATTTCTGTAGTTTATTGCTGTAATAGTGTGCGTGTCAGAATCAGATGTGAACAGGAAACTTACTAAACAGTGGATGTTTCAGCTACCCTTGGCTTACTGGCTAAAGTCAAATTCATTCTCTGGATGTTACCAGGAATCCGACTGCTGGGTTTTACCTGCAAAAATGAATGTAGTTATTTTATTTTGGTTATAATAATGAAGTATAGTGGGATATTAGTCAGGATACTGCAGGCTCAGTTTTAATAAAAAAAAGACAAAAAGTGTAATTTTGTTGGTAAAAGAATATTCAGGAAAAGCTCAAAATCAAATGTGCTCATGTGCTGGAAGTATTAACCATTTGTGATGATGAATTCCACCACCTAAGCTAATGGCCCTCTTAGTGCTGAAATTATTCTTTGTAACCTCTTCTGATAACAATCCTGAGACTGCCTCCTCCCTTCTAGCTTCTCCTCCCCAGTTGGTAGAAATATTTCCTATTTCATACCCGTTCAGTATCTCCTCTCAATTTCCTCCACTCCAGTGTAAAAAGCCTCAATTTAGCTGAGCCTCTCTTCAAACGTATACTATCTTTTGCCTGATATCATTCTAGTCAATCTGCACTGCACCGTTGCCACCTGACTTTTTCTGTAATGGAGAGCTCGAAGTTTAAGAGTTTTGAAGAGATGTTCTGTGCAATTCAAGACAACCTCGTTTTTCTATTCAATACACCAGTTCATAATTCACAGATCCTCATTATCCACTTTGATAGATTTTGTTTTACTTTTAGTGATTTATGTGTTTGTACCCCTGAATCCTTTGTTCCTCGGTTCCCTTCAGTCTTTTACCTTCAGGTTGCGTTTCCAGTTCTATTCGTAACCCTTTGCTCAGGCTGAATATGGAAGATAGAATAAGCAAAGCAGTTACTTTCCAGTCCAGTAGGCTTAACGTTTGTGCTTCAGTAGAACAGTTGTATTTTGTGAAGGTATCTGGGACATTGCAGCCAAGAAGGTTTGATAGTTGCTTATGAAGGGCGCTATGTTGTTATTGAAAAGAGTAGAGACTTGGTGAATGGAATTTGACTGGAGGCTCATGGGTGGGTCATAGATTTGACAGGCTGAATGGTTGTAATATTCTAAATAAGTTTAAATTTTATATGCTGATCAATAACTCAGTATTGGTGTTAATCAGCTGAATGGATTTATTCCATGTTCTAATATGGAAAAAATTTCTTCCTGAGTGTTACGTTGAGGTTATGCAGCGTGGAACGCAGCTGCCAGAACATTGTTTAAAAATGTAATGTTAGATTTGAGCCAAAATGGCGAATCAATGTTTGCGCTTATTCTTTGGACTGTAGAATAAACATCTTTGTTTCTAGCCGTTGCTGTTGTAGCACAGTGATGTGCTGGGGTGAGATCCATCTTTATTTTCTATCTGTTAATTTTGAATCGCTGTCATTGCTCAATGTGCTTGTTTCCCACTTGTGGTATACCTTAAACGTTTTCTCTCAGTGTACTTACTGCCCATTGAGTTTCTTAGCCACTAATAACCATGGCGATTTGGGCCCAAAATCTATGACCTGATCGGACGACAATCTGCATTTTTACAACGAGAGCCACTTATCGATAACCAACCTTTAACTTTAGTGGGGGACAGTCAGGGCTCAGCTAAGCTGTGACAAGGCAAAGCTTCTTGAATGTTGTCAATTGATGCAATCTGGTAGGAAGACTGACCTTTCATCTCGCAGACCTGGGTTCGTATCTGGCCCAGTCTACTGCAGTGAAATCGTGCACTGCCAGTGGTAAGGGTGAAATCAATCTGTGAACGCAAAGTTGTTCAATTCAGCTGCGATTGGGACTAAAATGTCAATTTCTGACCTCAAGGATGGGCAGTAAGGAAACGAAATATCACATTAGTTCAGCGAGTGTCATTGTTTTAACAGAGGCTCTGATTGAAGTGGGGAGTACAAGAGCTCTACTCTGGTTATGTTGTACCTGCTTCAGGAGCTCTTGATTCTGATAAATTAACTGCTCAGAGTAGAGGAGCATTTAATTTCTTGGCATTGACAATCTTTGCTTTGAGAGAGAAGTTATTGCTCTCAACACCTACCTCAAAAAAACTGGAAGAAGAAATTACTTCATATTGAAAGTAATAGTTTCCTTTAAAGTTCAACTTGCATGTTGAATCAGTTTGTATACCTTAGAGTTCTTCCTCTGGACATTTACACAAATCAAACAAAACTGATCCTTTTCTGTTAAGCTCAACAACTGTAAGACAAAATGGAAACCTAATTCATTCCACTTTATCTTAAGATTTCATTTTGATTTTTCTATTTTTGTGTGACGAAGTTTACAATATTTGTAATCTGTTTTTGTAATTGCAGACTGGAACAGTTTCATTATTACTGCACTGTCGTTGCTTGGTTAATGTGGCAAAATATTGTGTGATGCTGTTAGTTGATGGACATTGACCATTGTACAAATGTGATATTTTTTAAATTGCTGACATTCTGATAATTTCCACTCCTGAAAGTGATTGATATTTGGAATGTTAATCTGCTATAATCCAAAATATCTGAATATGAAACAAAATAAATCATAAAGTAGAAAAAAAAACCATGGGGAGCAATTTAGTCCAGTCAGCTTCGATTACTAACTACCCCTCACCTCACTTTATACTAGCTGCACCCGTTGCAGCTTCACTTGCAACCAAAAGATCCAATACGGAATGTAGATGGACACACAGACAGACATTTCATCGTTATCTAGACTCCTGCGGGTGGGCACCCTGCCGGGTGGGCTCCAGAAAGGTGGGGGGGGGGGCTCCGGGAAGTGGGGGACGGGCTAGCTCATCAATGTAACTGGAGGGAACGCAATGCTTCCTTTTTGGCTCCTAATAACTCTGCAAGCTAATGTCCTCGTGGGTTCTGGTTCTAGCTGTATAAGCAGCAGGAAGCTGGCTGGTAACCTGTGTGGTTCCATTTCAACAGTATCTCACTGCAGTTTCAAGCCCCTAATGACTTGTTTCTGCCATCTCATCTGTGTTCTCTGGGCTGATATTTCCAATAACTGGGCTTGGAAGTTTTATAGATTTGATGTTCTCAGTTTGGTTGAAATTTGAAAAATAATGCACAGTAAATATGTGAATTGCTTTAGTACGGCCTCCCTAATTATTAAAGTAGCTCACTTGACAACCACATGCGACTTTATGAAGTGTTCTATAAAATGTGTGAGTAAACGTGCATCAATCCTCTCACGTAAGAGATAGATAATACTTTTTAAATGGAGTAAATGTGTAAGGGCTTGTGGTACGTGATTATGTGGTAATTTAATGTATAAATTAGTAAACAAAA